AATACAAGCCCTTCCTTCTGAACCTTGGTGCCCCCCCTGTCTCCTTGGGCCCCTATGGAACTTGGTGCCCACAGAACACAGGAGCCAGGCCTGTCCTCTCTCTGCTCCGTGGCTCTGCCCCACGTGGACAGCCAGTTCCTTCAGGGATGGAAGGAGGGAGGAGGGTGGCCTGCCAGGTCCACAGTGTCCTGGGGGAAGAACAAGGCTTTCTTGTTTGTGTTCTGGCTGTAGAAAGGGCCAGGCGGCCACAGCGCGCGTGAGTCTGAGTCAGGGGTTGGCTGCTGGACAAAGGACAGAGACGGTCTGTCCCGGGGGAGGTGGACGAGGCATTCACTGCAGACACCGGACGGGGTGTGTCCCCCACCAACCCGGCCTTCCCAACCCCGCTGCCGTCCGTGTGCCAGGAACACAGAAGACAACCAATCGCCTCATAAACTCAGCCTCTTGGGAGGAACCTCCCTGGCTGCGCCCCCCTTGCTCTCAGCACCAGATGTTTTGTGAGGCCAGTGTATGTGTGTGTGTGGCGGGGGGAGGCTTTGATCCACACAAGCCATGGTCTTAACATTCCCTCAGCTCCTGTCTCCAGCGGGTGCTCCTTGTGCTCAAGGTCCGTGTGTGTGTGTGTGTGTGTGTGTGTGTGTGTGTGGGTGCACAGGTGAAGACCACAGGTGACATGTCCTTCTGACCATCTCTCCCAGCTCAGGAGGGCAGGGCTTTCTGGCTGTCCCCATGCCCGGCACATAGTTTGTTGTTGCTGTTGTGAAGTGCCGTCGAGTCGATTCCGACCCATAGCAACCTTGTGTAGGGTTTCCAAGGAGCAGCTGGTGAGCTTGAACCGCCAACCTTGCAGTTCAAACACGTAGTAGGTGCTCAATAAATGCCAACTGAGGGGTCACCAAAAGAGGGTTCCAGACGGGAGACTGAGGTGGAGCAGGCTGGCTGCCCCAGGGCCAGGCTGGAGCTGGTCCATTTCCAGGGCAGGTTTGTGGATGCTGACCACAGAGCCCCCAAAATGCCCCACCCTCATCCCTGGGGCGGGTGGATGTGCTTCACCGAACCAGGGAACCAAGCAGATGGTCCACGAGATGGTGTTGGAGGTGGGAGGTGATTCTGGATCACTCAGGGGGACGTGTGATCATAGGGTCCTCACCCCAGGGAGGTGGGAGGGCCAGAAAGCTGTGAGCACAGAAGCAGAGAGAGATAGAAACTGGAAGATGCTGATGACTTTGAAGACACAGGAAGGGGCCACGGGCCAAGGACTGCGGGGGTCTAGACACTGAAAAAGGCAGCGGGCAGTTCTCCCCTAGAGGCTCTGAAAAGAACCAGCTGACACCCCGATTTTAGTCCCTTGGGCCCCCTTAGGGACCTCTGATCTCCCGGTGGATAAATCTGTGTTGTTTCAAGTCTCTGGGTTTGTGCTGATTCGTTGGAGACGAGGGATGTGGCCCTCAAGGTTCTGTCAGGGCAGAAGCAAATCCACAGTAAGAAATTCACCGTACACCAAGTTCACGCACGCACACCCACGCACAAAAGTTCCACATTCACGTTGGCCAGACTGAAGAATTTTATTAGGAGTTCTGGTGATGCTGTGGGGTAAGCATTGGGCTGCTAACTGCAAGGGCCGTGGTTCAAACCCACCAGCTACTTTAAGGGAGAAAGATGAGGCATTGTGTTCCTGTAAAGGTTTACAGTCTCGGAAACCCTACGCAGGGTCGCCATGAATCAAAATGGACTCGGTGGCAGCCAGCTGAAGTGTTTTATTTTCTCTTATGAGCTAGCCAGCCCTTTGGAAACCCGCCCCACGAAACGCATTGTGCGTGGGTCGGTTCCGACTCAGAGTGAGCTAAAGGACAGAGTGGAATAACTCCACAGGTTTCTAAGGTTGTTCATCTTTACAGAAGAAGTCGGGGGGTGCAGTCTGCTAAGCAGGAGGTTCCTGGTTCAAACCACCAGCCGCTTCTCAAGAGAAAGATGAGACTGTCTGCTCCCATAAAGACTCATAGTTCTGGAAATTCTATGGGGAACTTCTACTCTATGGGATTGTTTTAAGTTGGAATCGACTTCATGGCAGTGGATTTGGTTTCATGACTTTAAAAAAAAAATTTTTTTTTATGGACGCAGATTGCCACTCCTTTCTTCCACCGGGCAGTTGGTGGATTTGAAGTGATGACTTTCCTGTGAGCAGTGCAGAGCTTTACCCACCGCTCCACCAGGACTCCTGGAAAGCTCTGTGACTCAACAGTTCCGCTCAGGGTGGACACCCCGAAGACATGGGCCCAGATGTCCACCTAAGGGCCGCATGCTTCTAGTGGCATTATTGGCGGGAGCTGCAGACCAGAGACGCTGTAAAAACACGTTAGTGGGGACCCATCATAGGTTGGGCAGTTTACACAAAACAGCCTAAGGATGGACTGCATAAAACAGCAGACAGAGTCCCTCTTTGGACATCACGATGGTGGTAGGTGGGTGTTATCACTGGGAGACAGCTCTATGGGTGTCTGACAGCAGGAGGCTTGGCAGGGGGCCCACCTGAGCAGCATCCCTGGCCTCCGCCCACGCGCTGCCAGTAGCACCCCTTCTCCAAGTAACGACAGCCGCGGGATGAGAACCCCCTTGGGTGAGAACGACGGATGGACCCTGAGTTAGCTGCTGACAGGATTTCACCCAACAGCCCCCCCTGAACGGGCTGTCCTCCCCGCGGCCACCAGAGGGCGCGCGTGAGCACAAAGTCGGGTCGTCACAGCTCTGCTCGCCACCCTCCAGGGCTCCCGGCCTCCTTGGGGGTCAAAGCCCGAGTCCTCCTCGCCCACAGAGGCCCCCCCCACCACGACCTGTCCCGTACCCTCCCCACCCTCTCCTCTTCACTCACTTTATCCTGCCACACAGGCCTCCTGGCTGTTACCACTACCAACCAGGTCCATCCTACCTCAGGACCTTTGCACATGCTGTTCCTTGTGTCTGCAATACCCTTCTTCTAGACGCCTGGGTGCTCCCCTCCCCGCGTTCAGGTCTTAGCTCAAATGCCACTTCCTCAGTGAGGATTCCCAGGAACTCCTCACACCTCCAATCCTCTGCCCTGATTTTTCTAAACAACAATACTGAATACTGTTTGCACCCATGACAAAAGGTGAGGACAGGGAATGTACCTCCCTTCACTCCTGTCTCCACTCCTGTCTCCCCAGCACCTGAGCGCATGGATGCTGGCTGACTGAGAACAGCAGGGAAGAGATGTAGTTTACAGAGAAGCCTCGGTTCTGCAATTTCCTTAGAGGATCTGAGGTTCAGGGACGTGACAACCTGCCTGGGGGATCCTGGGACAGGGTTGGGGTTCTCTCTCACTCCCAGTCCAAGCTCCCCTTTTCTTTTTTTCTAATTTGCTCTTCTTTGTTAAGGCCACTGGTGGTACAAAACAGTCTGTTTAACTACTGATCTGAAGGTTGGAGATTTGAACTCACCCAGCAGTTCCAAGAAAGCAAGTCCTGGCATTCTGCTTCCATGAAGGTCACAGCCAAGAAACCCTATGAGGCAGTTGTGCTCTGTAACATATAGGGGTCACCAAGAGTCCAATCAAAGGCCATGAGTGTTTTTGTTTGTTTGTTTTTTTCAGTCAATGAATCCGAAGGATTGAAAACATGGCTTATTTGCATGTGCCTGGAATTAATTTGCATTCATTTACATTCATTTGCTTGGCGGTGGATGAAGTTCTGTGGCTGAGAGACGCTAGTGAGATTAGTGGACGTGTGGGCATTCCCCAAGTCGACACAGAAACTGCGGAGGAGACAGGAATTTGAAATTTACTCAGCAACATTTCTCTCTAAGGCTTGGAGCCTGGTGGAGTGGTAGCTTTTTGTGGGAACAGAGAAGTAAAATCTCAACTATATGACAAGAAAGAGCAAATCCTCACTGACCCCGTGTGTGTGACTTATCTAGGATTTGTTCTCAGATTCGGATCTTAATTCATAACGATGCTGTCTAGGGTTTGTGAGGCTGTAAAGTTTTACTGGTGGAGGATGGCTCCATCTTCCTCTCAAGGAGTCATAGTGACAGAGCTTACTGACCATTCCCAGGGGCAGGTGGAAGGGAAACAACTATCGCTCAAGGGCCTGGACTCTGTACTTTGGAGGTGGAGTAGAAACAGTGCTGAGGCAACTTGGTGACTATAATTAATGTCATTTAGTTACACACTGAAGATGGTTACAGTGGCAGCTTGCTTGTTACTGATGTTTATTTTTTTAATACAAGGATGCTATCTGACAAGAAACTCTACATTGGGTTGGAATAAATCCCTAGGGGTTTCTGGGAGGCAGTGGTCTCTCCTGTGGAGCTCCAACCCTTCCTCTTTGGTTTTGCTTCTGCCTTCCGGCCTTTGCACAGGATGACCTTCTTCTGAGAACACTTTTGTTTTAACTTTTTATTGTGAACTGGGTAAAGGGTTACAGAACAGCTCGGTTTTCCATTCAACAATCCACCATATTTTGTTTTAGCTGGTTTATTGCAATCCTCACAACATAACATTGCTTCTCCCACTTAAGATACTTCTTGGTCCAGGCCCCCCGAGCCATGAGGTTGCTGTGTGACCCTGGGCTACGCCTACCTCAGTTTACCTGCAGCAGGAATGGGGCCAGCTCACCTGCAACCTTGCCTGTCCCTCCCATTGTCGGGCCCTGGTGTCCAGTTAATGACTCTGATCCCTGGGGCCAGCTCTGCTGACACCGGATTCTCGCTTGGAAGGTCCAGCTGCTCAGCGACACTCGATCCCGGTCCCACTTCCAGGCCAGCATCCGGTGGCCAGCCCTCTCGGGCCAGGGCCCCAAGACTCCGTGCTCGGGGACAAGGAGCTATCTGTGCAGCCTCGAGAGGTGTGGTGAAGCCGGGGCCCTGCCAGGTTGGGTGGAGGTGCAAGAGCTGGGGACAGCGCCCAGGCTGCAGAAGCCAAAGCCAGAACTTCCAGGGAGAGGTTCCAGGCCCACTGACGTGCCCCCGCGGCCTCACCATCCACCATGGGCACCCTCAGCTGTGACCCCGCCCAGAGACGTACCTCCACTGCCCTAGGCCGGCGGGCCACTGAATACGAGATCCCGGAGACAGGCCTTCGGAAAGCCTGTCGAGCAGCTGCTGGCCTGGGGACAGGTATGGGTCAGCTGTGGGGGGGCGGGGGGCACAGCCTGGGAGACCCTAGCCCTCCCCTCCCCCCGCTTCTGGAACATTTGGGAGCCCCAGCCCTGACAACTCCTTGCCTTCCTTTTAGTCTGTTTCCATCCTGGAGAGTGGTGGGTTAGGGTGGGTTTCTGCACAGATGGCCATCACAGGGTAGGTGCTTGGCCACTGGGCTGGACCCAGAGGCTGGGTGGGAAGTATGGGGGGACAGAACTGATAGTAATGCCCAGGAAGAGAGCCACTGGGGTCAGGCGTGTGTGGGGAGGGGGTCTCTAGCTGGGCCATTGCATATTCCAACAGTGACCAGGACTGCCTGTGAGGTCTCTGCCTTGGTTTCCCCATCTGGGATGGACTCTGTCTATACCTCTCCCCCCCTGTTCCCACACCTCGGCAGCTGGTCCCCCACCTGTGATTCATTCCCTCACAATGCGGGTGACACCCACTCTGTCCCCTGGGAGCGGTTGCCTCCTCCCTCCCTCCCTACTCTAGCCTGGTGGGTGGGAGGCATTGGGGGGATGGAGCTGGACCACACCTGCCCCCCATCTCTTGGGGCCCTGCACCCTCCGTGGTAGTGACCTGCAGGCCTCTTGCAGGCACCGGATCTGGTCTATACGTCCTTCCGTCCACCATCAGTCACATCCAGCAAGACAGCACTAGAGTGTCTGGCCCTGCCTACTCCCTGGCCCGGAGACCCAGTGAGGGTAAGGGAACTAACTGGTTGTTGGGGTGGCAAGGCTGGCTATTTCTCACCCACTAGACTTAGGCCTCCTGCGGGGTGAGGCAGAGAGCCGGGAGGGTGGACTCCGGCACAGGCCAGAGAGGCTATGAGGAGTTTGGGATGTCCTGGGCTGGGACAAGCGGGAGGACAGGCTGGATCAGGCAAAGGCAGAGACCAAGCGTTGAGTCCTGACAGATGTGTCCTGGCGGGGCCGAGCCCTGGTAGTGCAGCGGGTTGAGCGCTGGGCTGCACAACGCAAGGTCTCCAGTTCAAGCCCACTAGCCGCTCTTTGGGAGAAAGATGAGGTGTCCGCTCCTGTAAAGAGCTATAGTCTCGGGAACACGAGGGAGAAGTTCTTCTTGGTTCTGTAGAGTAACTAGTCTGAACCCACTCGACTCTGCGACCGTGGATTGGCATGTGCTTGTTGAGTTCCTAGGAGATGCTCAGTCTACACAAGGAGGCACCCTACAGGGCAGTGGCGATAGCTTTGGTCAAAAATGTGCCCTGGACTTCTGGTCCTAGAGGCGGTCTGGGCTGAGCCTGCCACGACACCTGTCCCTCCAGCCCTGTGCCTGTGAGCTTTACCCGAGTTCCCTTCTTCCCTCCCAGCTCCCCGAGCTCCTATTCATCCTGCAAAACCTGGTCCTGTGTGTCCCCTCCAGGAAACCCTCCCTTGCCCAGTAAAAGCATGTGCTTTGCTCCCACTCCACCCCACCCCCGCCTCCCTAGCCAGTCTCCGTTCCTCCATTCAACCCCTGTGTATTGGCCAGACGGTCCACTGTGTTATTGTTGTTGTTAGGTACTGTTGAATTGGCTTCGATCCCTGCCTGGTCCTGGGCCCTCCTCACAATTGCTATTACCCTGGAGTCCACTGCTGCCTCCACTGTGTCAGTCCATCTGGTTGGGCACGTCCTCTTCTTTGTTAATCCTTCCCTTTACCAAGAATGATGTCCTTCTCCAGGGACTGGCCCCTCCTGATACGTCTGAATATCAGAGACCACTGTAGACATGCTTGAGTCTGTCAGTTAATCCTCGCCAAAGGGTAGCATGGTGGGTTATGCATTGGACTGTTAACCACAAGACTATTGGTTCAAGGCCACCGGCTGCTCCTTCCTCAGGAGACAGACGAGGCAGTTTGCTTTAGTAAAGATGTGCAGCTTAGGAAACCCTAGCAAGCCGTTCTGTCCTGTCCTCTACGGTCACCGTGAGTCAGACCCTGCTAGACGGCAGTGAATTTCAGTTTAAGCTCACTCCATCACTCGTCTGTCAGTTTGTCTTTTGAAGTGACTTGTGTGTGGCTGTGAAGATGGACGCTATGCCGTGGGTAATTTAAATCCCAGCAGGGTCACCCACGGTGGACAGGTTTCCGCGAAACTTCTAGACTAAGACAGAGTAGGAAGAAGGAGAGGTGGAGTACTCCGGAAGGTTTGTTTTGTTGTTATTGGTAAGTCAGTTCCGACTCATATGTATAGGGTTTCCAAAGAGCGGCTGGTGAGTTTGAACTGCCGACCTTGTGGTCCAAAGCGACCTTGCAATCCAGCGCTTTATCTCACAGTGCCACACCAGGACACCAAACGTTTAGCCACTGAAAACCTTATGACTCGCAGTGGAGCATGGTCAGAATATTGAAACTTTCACAGTTACAACAGCAGTGGCCTCAAGTATAACACCGACTGCGAAGCTGGCCCAGGACCGGACACTGTTTCCTTCTGTTTGTCCTTAACGTCGCTTTGAGTTGGACCCGATTACAGAGCACCTAACAACAACCCTGGAGTCCTGGGGTGGTACTACAAGATAATGCACAGGACTGCAAGGTCCCGTTGGTTGACCCTTTGTAACCGCATTATGTCTGACATTAGAACCCCATTAGATGTCTGAATAGGCTTAGGAAGAATAGCAAAGGCTAGCCCAGGAGTAGGTCTCACTTTCAAATGCCGGACACTGAGACATTGCTTCCCATTTCTCACGGTCTTTGAATTCTTTGCATTCATCGTTAGGGTTCCAAAGTCCCAGTACGAGAGTGAGCACCGCCTTAGGCCTCTGCTCTGCCCTTATTCACCATCCTAACAACCTGAGAGCTGGTCCCCACACACAGCACATAGCAGCAGGAAGGGCCAGCTGCAAAGGGCAGCAGAGCCGCTTGGACGGTGAGGAGCGGGGAAAGCTAAGCAGGTCTGACTTGAATGGGACTCAGTGGCTCTGGAGTGTCTGTCTCCAGGGCTGGTCTTGGACCACCTGAAGGGTGCCCTCAGGACCTGACCCCTCTCCTCCACAGCAACTCCGGAGGACAGCAGCCCCGGGCCGGTCTACTTCCTGGACCCTAAAGTTACTCGCTTTGGCCGCAGCTACACCCCTGCTTATTCCATGCAGGGCCGGGCCAAGTCTCGAGGTGAGTATGTCTTTCATAGTCTCAATGACTTTCCCACGTCCACCCTTCTCTTTCCCTGCCATCTTATGAGCCTTCAGAACTTCTGCACGTGGAGTGATGAAATCTAAGGGTCACAGCAGAAGGGCCACAAAGTCAAAATGCCTAGGGGGGCTTGAGAGACCCTGAACGAGTACACACATGGGGCTGGGGGCGTAGCTCGGCTCGTTCTCAGTGTTGGGAGGCGTTGGGGCTCAGTGAGACTGTGGTAAACTTCAGAACTCCCTTTCATAGCTTCCACACAGCCCTCTTCACCCAAAGGACCATGGCTCCGTCCACTCATCCACCTACTCTTGTATCTTTCGACTTATTACCTATTCATGTGTCCACTTACTGATCCACTCATTCATGCCTCGATCTACCCATTCACTCATATGTCTACCATCGATCGATCTGTCAGTCTATCCATCAATGTCTTCATGCACCCACCCATCCACCTGACCATTATTTCATCTACCCATTAACCCATCAGTCTAGCCATCAATCCATTAATTTGCCCATCCACTAACCATCCATCCATCCATCTACGCACCAACACAACCATCCATTCACCCATCCATCCATCCACACATCTATCTACTCACCAACACACCCACCATCAGTCCATCAGTGTGTCCATCAGTCCAGTAATCCATTTATCCATCCTTCCATCTACCCACCCGCACATCACCATAAATCCCTAAGTCTCTTTACCCACCCACTCTCCCATCTATTCATCCACACACCTACCTACCCTCCTGAACATCATTTCATTTATTCATTGATCAATCTGTTTATTCATCAGTCCATTTATTCATCCACTCACCAACCCATCCATCCACCCATTCACCCACTTGTCCATCATCCATTCACTCATCTATCTACTCATTCACCAGCCACCTACCAATCTATCCATCCATCCACTCATCCGCCCACCCATCCATCCATCCACTTATTCTTCCATCCATCTTCCGGTCATCAATCTCTTTGTCCATCCATAGGCTCAATCCACTGATACATTCACTCTTCTCTCAACCGCCCACCCACCAGCCATGTACACACCCATCTGTTCAAACATGTACTAAGTCAACTGTAAGGAGCTGAAGTAGATTAGCTCTGTCTTTGTTTTGTCTGAGATTCCAGCTTAGAGGTGACCATAGACCCAGATGAGGACCACCCCATCTTCCTGTGGTTGTATCTGGAGGGAGGGAGGGCCAGGGCAGGGGGACCTGGGAGAGGGTGAGTGCTCTGCCAGGAAGGAAGGTATGGGGGAGGCAGCAGGGATGCAGGGAGGGGTCTGAGCCTTGCAGAGCCTGGGATCTGGAGGTTGAGGAGGGAGAGATGACGAGGGCCTCAGCAGTGCCCACTTTGTGTTGTCTCCCACAGGTCTGGAGGTGACACCGGGTCCGGGGGCCTATAGCCCGGAGAAAGTGCCTCCCGTGCGCCAGCGGACACCCCCAGCTTTCACACTGGGCCCCCGCCTCCGCCCGCAGCTCCTGGACACCTCAGCACCGGCCCCCAATGCTTACACACTGCCCTCCCTCTGGGGCTCCCAGATCTTCATCAAGCCCAGCAGTCCCAGCTATACGGTGGTCGGTCGCACGCCCCCCATCCGTCCCCCCCAGGACCCTGCAGAGATACCTGGCCCTGGCCAGTATGACAGCCCCGACCCCAATGCCTACCGGCACCGCCGACCAGCCTTCACCATGCTGGGACGGCCCCGCACTCCTCGTCCACCTGATGCCACACCTGGACCTGGTACCCACAGTCCCGAACAGGTCACTGTGCACAAGGCTAGGGCCCCAGCTTTCACCATGGGCATCCGTCACTCCAAACGGGTCACCACAGCCGCAGACACCACACCCTGACGTTTAGTGACAACCCCCTCTAATCAAACTTCAGTTTCCCCTGCACTGAAGTGGGGTGGTTCTGGCTAAATGGGGCTCAGAAGTCACAGGAGGGACCCTGAGGTATACACTTCAGTCCCCTTCTTTCCGAACTGTCCGAGGTCCTTCTAGGTCACCATCCTCTATCAGTCCCTGGGGGCTGTGACCCCGAGGCCCCACACAGGGTGCAGGGTGAGCCTTCTTCCAACGCCCCAGTTTCTTTCCCCAGTCACACCAGGCCAGGCCAGACAGGGAAAGGGACACCCAGCCCTCTCCAGCTGCTGGCGGGCGATGAGCTTCCTGTCCTAGAACTTGGCGTCCGCTCTGCTAGGGCCTGGGTACCCGGTGCAGCTCCGATTTCTGCCAAACTTGGAAACTCGGGCTGTTTCCTTGGCCTCCTGGAAGCACAGTATCTACCCTGGGCCCAGCCTTGATACCCCTGCACACCCACCCACTGTCTAGAGTTGCCAATAAATCACTCCTTGGCACCAACAACTGCCAGTATCTCACATGTCTGTTCATGTCCCGGGAAGGAGACCTGAACTTCCAGAGACAGACCCTTATTGTCCGGCCCCAGCCCCAATCCCAATGGGGTTGGGGGTGGGTGTCTAGGTGGGACCAGAGGAGGGACCCAGGGCTGGGTCAGTCAGAGGTGGGTCCAGAGCTTTGAGTGGAGAAAGGCCAGGTCAGCTTCCTGGAAGGAAGGGCAATGGATCTGGGTGCGGTGGCTCTGTAGGGTGAGCACTGGGCTGTGAACCTCAAGGTCCATGGTTCGAGCCCGCCAGCTGCTCCATAGAAGAACAATGAGGCTTTCTGCTCATGCAAAGATTTATAGCCTCAGAAACCCTCTTCCGGGTAACTAACAGTCGGAGCCGACTCAACAGTGCTTTACAACTGTCGGGAGTCCTGGTGTAGCACTGTAGGATAAGCTCTGGACTGCTAACTGCAAGGTTGGTAGTTCAAGCCCACCAGCCACTCCTCAGGAACCCTACACAGGGTTGCTATGAGTCAGAACCCACTGGATTCATTGAACGACAAGACAATAGCTGCCTATAGTAGGTGCCTGCAATGTCCCAGATATTGATCAAGATCATCTTGGGAGGCAGGTGATGTTTGCAGAGAGAAAATGGACGTTAGCGGAGATTGGACATATTTTTCCAAGGACATCCTGGCAGGTGACCAATGCTGAACTCAGCAACCTTCTATCCCTCCCCCCCAAAGCAGCCTGATGCCAAGATCTGAATGGCGCATCGGTCGACGTTTCTACCACGGTTTCCTAGGAAGGACAGTCATGGGTTGATGGTATTTCACCGGCTCTCTATGAACCCTCCATCCAGGGAGACCCTAACTCAGGGGCCTGGAAGACCCTAAGCCCCAGGGGCAGTATTGCAGGTGGGACGCGGAGGGTGCTTGATGGGTATCAGCCCTCTTCTTACCCACAAGCTCGGGGCTGCCACACCTGCACACCTGGACCACCTACACAGAGACGTGCACACACACCTGGACCCCTTCCACGCACGCCCAGACATGCTAACACCTGTAAACAATGCACACACGTGTCCACACACCACCCAGCCCTCATTCAGTGCACACGTAAACAGTCCCGAGTGTCGATATGAAGCGCGCGCTACGGGTGTGCGCCCCCGGCCGCCCCCCACCACCGACCGGCCACAAGCCCAGTCTCCTTGCAGTCAGTCCGAGGATCACCCTCCGCCCGCGCGCTGTTTGCTCCTGGTCCAGCGCAGACACTGGGTGTCCGCTACACAGTTCGCGACCCTCCCTCGCTGGCCAATCACCGTAGCGCGCGCCTCCCCCCGCCCATCACCCATGGCCTCCCTAGCCTCCCCCACGCTGTCTTCTACATCCCCCGCCAGCTCCCCTCCCTACCATTACCTTCTCCCCTTCTCCCGCCCCCAAAACCGGCCCCTGGTGCTCGAGGGCTGCCTCCTCATCCCCCGGGTCCGAGGGCGGCGCCAGACTGTGATCTCATTTCTCTGATTGATCGATCGGCTCCGGCTCAGCCGCCTCTCCCCTCCCTCCCCACCTGCCCAAGCGCCGGACCCCTCCCTTTGTTTCCCGGCAATCCTCCCAGCTGGGGGAGGGGACGGAAAGGGGGACGGTCAAGACAGAGGCCAGGAGGCTGGGTCTTGGGGTGACCGTGACATCCCATTGCCTAGTGCAAAAAATAAACCCTTGAGGCCTGGGCGGAGGACTGAGGGACTTCGAGGCCCAAAGGTTCAGCTGAACTGATGCGGGACAGAGCTCCCCAAAATTGGACCGAGGAGAGGCCGGGACCCCCAGCCCGCCCCCAGGGTGGCCTCAGGGATGGGGCGAGGAGGACCCGGGTCTCTGCACTCTCCGCCCTAACCTAGCCAGTCCAGGAAGGCCCGGCCTGGCTGGTCAGCGGCTTGACCTAGGGTGTGGCCCCTTGCTCGCCCTAGGGCTCAGTTTCCCCGCGGAGCAAAGAAGTAGGAAGTGACGTCTAGGTGTCTCACGGCCTGGGCAGTGGGCAAGAAGGGGGCTGACATTCGACTGGGACTCTCCCTTCCCTGCACTGCCTCAGTTTCCCCATCGGTCAATGGAGGGAGCAGGGGGTGAATTTCATCGCCTCTTCCAACCCGGTCCTTCTAGGAAGCTGGGCGGCGAGTGGAGCGGAGGGCGGCGCAGGGGTCCCGGGTTCGAGGTTCCCGCTCTCCGGCTGGTAAAAGCCGCTCAGCGCCCGAACCCCGGGCGGACCTCAGTTTCCCCAAGCGCCGCGGTGCTGAGGGCCGGGGTCCCAGGGGTGCAGCCCCCCGCGGCTGCGCGTTGGGCCGGGCGGATGACATCACCGGGCCGGGGGGCGGGGAGGGACGGGCGGCAGCGGGCGGGAGCGGGCGGCCTCCTAGGCCAGGCGCAACGCCCGGTCGGGCT